AAAAACACAAATCGAATACAGTACTTTAGTACCATTTAAACAGACACGATTTTCTCTGTAGTACTGTATAAAAAATTTTTGGGTTCTCTCCCCATGCTAAAGGGGTTCTCTACAACGAAATTCTCTCTACAATGAATTTTTAAAGGTCCCTTGAATTTCGTTGCAGTGTCCACCTGCAATGTTAAAATGAAACCTTATTAAATAAAAATCTCGTTACAATGAAGCCATTGGGACCAAGAAAATAGCTTCGTCATGAAAAAAATCATTCATGAGCAAACTCAAATAATTTTTAAGCCAATGGACGGAAGAATAAAGAAGAAATTCGTCGTAATCAATCATTTTCAAAATGTTCCATTGTAATTTCATTTGAGAGGCTTGAAAAATATCACAGTTGTTAAATTACATATATGTCGGAGAAGCAATCCACAATATTTGCTGCATTACACATTTTCCACAAGATTCAAGTCTAAAATATGTTCATAACCTTGAGTTTCAATACAATAAAAATACAGTAATTCATTAGTATTTGTTTCAATTCCCCGTTAGTTTGTTGTGACGAGCTTTTGTTGCTACTGGAACCATACAAATTTATTCGTTTCACTTCCAATCAGGATTTCCCAAAAAGTTAACCATAGGTGTCGCCCTCATCTGGTTCAATGATCCATAAATCATTCACAGTTCAACCTCTGTAAGTCAAATTTCCATGGACCATGAAAAAAATTCAACTTGGGGAGGTTTTCATTTTTTGAGGTTTCCAGTTGAGAAAGCAAACACTTGCTGTCAGAAGTGAAGAAAATGTGGGAAATCATGAATGAGGATATTCTGGGGTACACCTTGCTGAACTTGGAGGCAGGGGTTCATTTGCTATACAGTATTTTTCTTTCAATTCCTTTCAAGATGCATCAACTCATTTGTTCTATTCATTTCATGTTTCAAGAAAATAATGACCAGAAGGCCTCAGAAAATTCGACTTACAGAGGTTTTATAAAAAAAGACTTCAAGTAAGGAAGTTTTTTAATGTATTGATACTAAGGGAATTCAGACAGGGACTTGAAAAAAATTCGATTTAGGGAGGAATTCGACTCATCGAGGTTTTGGACATGTTATTTTAATCCTAACTTCCGCTGTAGACAGACTATAAAGCTTCTCACTCGCACAGGTTCTGGTTTTAAAGTTGAAAAGCCGTACCCCTTAGTAATTTTAGGGCGCGTGTAAGTATTTGTGCAGCATCTGACGCCCGTGCACCGTACCTTCGTGTGCTTCTTGTCCGTGGCATACACGATGGACGTGCAGCTGACTTCGGCGAATTTCCGACCTCGTCCGTAAAACGTCCAGCAGCAGATTTCATTGGTGCCCATGACGTCCTTGATGAACACTATCCGCCCAAAAAACCGCCTGCACAATTTGTCGAACAACTCAATGTTCTTCAGCAGGTTGTCGTCAGAGTTGCTCGTGTACGAGTACTTGTTGTTGTGTCGGTTCACCAACAGCTTCACCACGGGCTGTGAAGCAACGAGAAAATGTGGTGAAAATCAAGATCAAAGATGATTTTTTCTTACAGTATAATTTAACCATTTATTGAATTTTTTAATTTTGAAATAAAATTATTTGAATAAAATTAGCCTAAATTAATAAAATAAGATTTAGTTTCAAACAAAATTTTCTAGTATTTTTTAAAAGAATATAATTTTGTATAAGGAAAAATATTAATTGTTTTAACAAGGTTAGCGATTCAAGCGACATCTACCAGTAATTCAAAGAGCAATAGTAACTTGCCGGAGTTGTTGCCATCAACTCTTCAGGTGACGTTTCCCCGACATTTCACAATGCACCATAATTTTGTGGGCACAAAAAAAAGAATCAAAACAAACCTTGGTTGTCGACGAAATCAGGGCCTGAGCTTCCTCGGACGTAGTGATGAGGGACACTGTGCAAATGGGCAAAACTCCTTTGCTTTTCCACGCATTCTGCGGAGTAAAAACAAAAAAAACGAATCATGGATAAAAAAAACATACATCACAAAAAATTACATGAATCTTTACCTTCTCAAATTTCTGCAAAGCGGCTTCGCAAGCATGAACGATCTCGGGGATTTCGTAGAACTTCGCCTCACCGCAGAGTTCCTCGATATCCTCTCTTGAACTAGGAAGCTCCACCGAATCGTCCCTCAGGAAATTCAAGATGGTGCCAAAATGTTTCCCACTCCGGTTGATAAGTATCCATCCTGTCGAAAATATAAAAAAAAGTTGAAAACCGAATACTGAAGTGAAAATAAGACATGCAATACAAATGTCTAACTGTACAAATGGTGATTGCCATTGGTTAAGGAGGCTGCACATGCCCAACTTTTGTACTGCGTTCTCCTAACCTAAACTTCCAAAGAAGGACCAAAATAAATTATGAACGCGTCAAATATCTTCTTTGCTTTCCAACCTCTTAAATTGCTTTGGTGGTTACTTGTTAGGATAAGCTAGAGTCCAGAAGCAAATATCAATTTTTTTTACGCAATACGGGATTCCAACTGAATGCGGCTGATCAAGTTTATATGAAAATTGAAAGAAGCTTAATAATCTCGAGTGCATCATTAGTTATTAAAGTATTTTGCAATTTTTGGCATTTTCTATAAAATTACAGTCAACCCTCTTTTGAACTGAACTCTTACAAGTCAGCAAAACGATAGATTTTGACTAACTGGTATTTTTGCCTCAAAAATCAAGAATTTCGAAAAATTGAAATAGGTGCCTTTGACTGCTGAGTAAAACTCCATTACAAACAATCCATTAAAAACATCCCTGACTCGAAGGCTTTCCCCCTCAAGCCTCCGCAACTCACATTTTCTGGAGGACTCTTGGCTATTATTTTTATCAACGAAGGAAAGAGAAAAGCATTAAAAATGTAACATGATGTCCTTTGAAAGGAAATACGAACACTAAAGACTAATTGGGCAAATGAACACTTGCATCCATGTACAGCATTTTGTCAACTCATTTGGAAAGCATTTTAAAGCGAGAATATCACAAAATTATAATTCCATGTACTGTAGTCATTATTTCCTTTCCCCAACAAAAATGTTTATTTCCTCGACTTCATACCTCCCAGACTTGAGTTTTGTTACTGATTTGACCCAAAGAGATCAAACTTCCTTTGGAGGCAAGGAATTCTTCTTAATTCTTCCAAAAAAAATGCAACATACTGTACATTTATATTGCTTTTCTGTTTCCCGGGTCCTGAAAATACTAGCGACCATTTTCAGAAAATTCTAATAAAGAAGATTCGATGAGCAAAATCTTCGCATTAGGCAAGTCTATTCAGTAATGCGTTGTTGCCAAAGAAAATTCAGACACATCTCCGAAAAAAAAAAATCGATACGCGGAAATGCTACTGTATTTCTTACAAATGCAGACAGATTCAAAGGCGAATAGCGTTACCAACCGTCGGAGTCCGTGAGGACCTCGGAACGACCAGAAAAGATGTCTCTCAACCATCCACCGCGTTTCGTTAGCGTCCCAATAGTCGTGTAATGCAATGCTCCACTCACGTTCAACTTCACGTAAAGGTTCGCGTTTTCGGGCACCACGCCGCGCTCTCCCGACATCTCACGCGACCCACTGAACTCACACTCAGCACCTTTGCTCCCCCCTACTCACGAATAAATAATCAAACATAAAGCATAATTTAAAGAAAATACGAATGAAGGATTGCAAATGAAGTTACAGAATCCCCAGATGAAAGACAACAGGTTACGCGGGCGTTTTGCAACTCAACACTTACCTGTCACTTCAAGAATTGAGGACGAATTTCAAGTTACACCAAATTCGATTCGGGCGACATCTATGCAGAAATATAGGACATTGTGAGGTCGGAGACACCTGGCTCTTGCTTCAGGACATTCTTTGAAAATCTTTCAGATACAGGGGGTCCCTGCACAACAAAATTGCTCTGCTCCTGGATGCAATCCATTAAGAACACTGTTCCTAACGCAGAAAGCGTTTTCCCTCTATCATACATTATGAATGTCTTCCGTTTCAGACACAAGGATACACGAGAAACCTGTAAAACTTTACCTTTATGCTAATTTTTAGCATAAATTATGACATTAAATTTAATTAGCATTGTGTCTAGGCAATTCTGAGAAGCTGATGCACTTGAGTTCCTTAATTTCACAGATTTCGAAGACAATCAGAGGCAAAGCTGCGCTTCTCTTTTCGCGTCTGTCCTCGATTCTTCGAGAAATTGCCAATTTTAAGCAGAAAACTTGCTAAAACTAGATTCTTGGCCCCAAATTTTTTTACGCGTGAAAAAAAAAACTGGTAGGAGAGTCAAGTTTTCTCTTTCTAACAAATTTTGCAATTTTAATTCATCGTTGCGCAAGTCTATTGTTATGGGGGACCTCCCGTCATTTATAAAACTCAAAGTATTTTTTTCCAATACTGTATATGAATGCTCAGTATTACGAAGGTGTTAAATTGCAAAACTCCCGAAAAAACCTTCTTGAACCCACACCGAAGCTGAAAATCAACACACACACACAGACACTCAATACCCAACAATTGCATTCTTGTTTTGTTTTTTTTAGCACTTTTTCCAGTCGTCACAAACATGGGACGGAATTGATTTCATGACTGCGTAATGAGCGCAAGATCAGCCGAACACAGGGCAACAACATCTCTTCTCTCCCTATCTCTTTCTCGTAAAATGTCCACCCAGCGCTTAGAAAAATATAAAATGGTTCTCGCGCCGACAAAAGGAAAACAGATCCCTGCGTCAAATATATAAAATCAGATACGATTAACAATCGATGCCATAATGATCCTCCTTTTCTTTTCGTCAACAACAAAAAACAGTCATAATGTCGACCTAAAAAGCAACGTATTAACCAACCAACCAGCAGGCACGGAAAAAATCGAACTTCCTCCTCCTCCTTCCGAATTCCATCGCTCAGAAAGAAAAAAACCCACGAATAAACTCTCCAGCTTCGGGAGTCGAGAAGGAAGAAACCGATTTTATCCCACACCCTTAAGCTCTTTGCTGCCTTCACCTGAACCGGTGTCGAATCGCAGGCAAAGCAGCTGCACAGAAAAGTCCTGCCCAGATGAATGGAATGAGGTTCACAGTGGGTGAAGGTGATAAGGAATGTGCAGCGTTGCAGCCCTCTTTTCCCTTGCATTCGCAGTGTTCAACGTGGATGTTGAACGTGCCCTCGAGGATGCGACAGTAGCGCTCGTCGCCGTCGAGTCCGGGATTGTCGACGAAGGCGCACGAACGAATGAATCGCCATTGGCCGTCCACTGCAACAAAAATAATCATCATTGAGCAATTATGGGTCAGATGCGTGCATCTTCCAAGGATACACAACTGCTGACACTTGCTTCCGGTACAGCGAAGATTTTTCGCAGCACCGAAATACGGAGAAACTTCCAACTCAAAGCATATGTCCCGAAACAGCCGGAATCGCCATGAAAGTATAAATGTCCGAAATTTTGATATCTCATGATCAATTGAGTTACCGTGGAATCTCTTCGGTCGAATTTCAAGGGACCCATCGAAACAATTCGTTCAATGGAGGTTTTTCGTGCGTTGTTTCCCCGGGAATTCGAAGAGGGTTTTGATTACGAATCTCTTATAACAAGTCCCGCCGAAACCGAATTCAAAACGTGTGCCATACTCCATTGAGCATCAATTCGCTTCTACCCCGCCGGTATCGGAAGCACCCAGTGAATCTCAGCACAGTACGTGGATTGAATTCCACCCGAAAGGAATTGAAGCTTCGCGAACTCCATTCACGCACTTCAAGATGTCGACTGACCTCGGGACTACACGAAGATAGCGGTCGATACGCAGATATCCAAAGTGACCACTTGAATCTCAATCCGCACTGATTACACTTCCACCCGATGTAATTGAACAAATTCAAGCTCCGCGAACTTAATCCACGACTACGAAATGTCCGCTGACCTTAGGACAGCAGTACTTGGACACTGCAGTGCGATTTTCAATCACTCACACCCTCACTACACAGTACTAAGGTTACAGAAACGTACCTTTCTGACGAGTTTTTCGACAGCTCTCGGGCTCTTTGTCCCCCAGATGGTCCATTCTTTTATGTTTACAATCCGTCTGCGGAAAAGATCTGTTGTCAAACGGATCTGCACATCTTGGATCAGTGAATGAATTGCATTCGTAGCACTTGATGCTGAACCCTAGGAAAAATCACATTCTCCGTAAAAATCTCGATTACAAGAATCCCACGATAGTACACTCACCGACTCTAATGGCGAAAAAATACGCAAGCACCAAAACCACGCAACTCAGGATATATATATTCTGTCGGGCCATTGCGTGGGGTTCGAAATAAAAACCCCCAAAAAATAGAAATCTGCAGGAACAAAATAAGAGATGAACTTTGAGGATCTCAAGAAGCACTTCGCCGTGTTTTCCCGGGATAAGCTAAAGCTCCTCCAACAACCGATTTCTTCAAAATATGGGACATTACTGCTTCCAGACACACAAAAAAAAAACCTAAAAAACTTGGGTATGATCTTTAGTAGGAGTTATTTCCAGAGACCGAGCGATCATTTAGTTCACGTAATGATCAAATGTGAAGGGTCGAACCATACTCCAGGAAATAAGGGCTCTCCTCGCGTTTTTGTACTTCCGAATAGTCAAAAATATCAATTCGAAGAAACGGATATCAAAAATATTTTATGATTCGTGTCAAGAATGAAAACCGGAAGTCCACATCTGTGACTCATGGAGCCAGAACCCGAGTATACGTAACTCGGCTTTCAAAATTGATCTACTAAAATTGAAGGAGATTCGTGAATATTTTAAGAGGGTATAGTTGTTGAAAGGCTCCTACCCCTGGGAAAATACGGCAGATCAACGATTCCTGAAACAACATCGACTCCAACCCGAGGATTTATTCAGCACAACGCGGAAACTCGATCAAGTCAGAGTAAAGAGCACGAAGAAGTCATCTACAGCTTGACGGGCTTCGGGAGACTTTCGTATTTCGCCACGTTTTTCGCTGCTCGCCTCTTCTGCTGATTGTGGTTCACGTTGTGTTTCTTGGCGAACTTCATGTTCCTCAGGAACTTGGGGTCCACCTGAGATTCGATTCAACGCGTCAAGTTTATGTAAGTATGCTAGACTTAAGAACGAGTGACAAGAGATGAAACTGAGATTCAAGTTACACGGAGACGCATCTCATACAGAAATAAAGCTAACTCGCAACATAATTGTAACAAGAATAAACCTCAGAGGAATCATGTAACTTACGCCCTTCAAGGAGGGATGTTTCAGCTGCTTCGGCCGCTTGATTCCATTCCTGTGGGCCTTCTTATCTAAACGATTTGAAAAACATGCCTTAATACTCAAAGAAGCTGTAGGAACAGATCAATTCAACTTACTCTGGTTGTGATTCGTGTGGTTCTTTGACTTTGCCATGGTAAGCTTATATCACTCAGAAATTCAAACTCACTTCGTTAGTCTGTAACAAAAAATGAGAACCATGAAGTTTCCGTTTGCATCGACACGCATTACGGCCCATCGACAAACGACACCGTTCAAAGAAACACGAAGTTTCGTGACGAGCTCAATGTTCGTCGCCCTTTGAACGGTGATACGAGGAATCGTAAATGAAATGATTTCAGAAGACAGTTGCATCTTTCAAACACCGTTTATCGTTCTCATTCAGCGTCACCCTTCACAGCACGGGTGTAAATCTTCTGCGAACGATGCTTTACGACGAGCTTGATGAGTCCCTTGGACTGCAGCTCAATCAATGCACGGCGCGCGAGGGAACCACGAATCTTGAGACGTTCAGAGACAACAGAGGGTGTGATGAGCTTGTAGCTCGGAACTTCCTTGTACAACTTGTCGTATGTGGCTTGGTCGAACAGAACCAGGTTGTTCAACTTGTCACGGACCTTTCCCTTGGACCACTTCTTCTTCTTGGCCTTGCCGCTGCCTCCTTCCTTAGGCTTCTTCGGGGTCTTGGAGGTGGCCTTCGCGGACGCCTTCGGATCCTTCTTAGCACCCATGTTGGCTCACTTAATTAATCAACACCAACTCTGTTCACAGAAAAGAAAAAGAAAGGTTATAGCACGCACGATCGCTTCCGAATGCAATCTTTTCACAGCGTCGGAACACGAGATTTCCGCGGAGTTCAAGCATCTCAAACCTTCTACCGAAGCTTGCATTCAAAAAGGAAACGTACAGGTGCAGAATCGAACACGAAATTCACGGTTAATCGTCGAATTTCCGAGCTTCGCGCAGTTAACACTTCAGTATCCCGGTGATTAACAATTCTCCGAAGAGGAACAGACAAGCTACCATCTTCCCTCGCCTATACGAAAACCACAGAGCGCTCTTGTAGTTATAAGAGCTTTACCGTAATACGTGAGGTACTGTACCAAATTCAAGTACTGTACTGTAAGCTATGTTGTGTTATAGTGGAAAGGAATAATTTTTGTTCAAGGGATTGAAATACAGTACAATGTACGGCCTCCTCCCATAAGCTCCGCATTTAGATTTGAAATCTGAGGAAAATACTCTGATAAAATATTCTGGATGCTATTCATTACCCAAAAGTAGTCACATACATAATGCTAGATGAGTTACTTCATGATGAATTTTTCAATACAAATAAAAAAGCTCTTTTACTGATACAAATGGATGGCTTTTCAGCAACAAGTTTTATTGTACTGCATTGTTAAAGTGAATACTGTATCGCCTAATTTTCTCAAATGCCACATATGCCGTATAAATAAGTTCAATAATATAAGACATGCTGCACCCAAGATGATTGTCAGCCTAAAATGTGGACAAAATGTATCATCCCCATCCATAAGTTGGATAATAAATACTGTACTCGTCACCCCATTTTGAAAGACTGAAAAATGAAATATCATATTCTGGAAGTAGAATAATTTCAATTTGATATTTGATTTCAATTGGAGTTTAATTTGAATGTTAATTTTTCATTATTTCCATCTTTAAAATTTATGCAGAAATTTGTTAAAAATCCCCTGTTGAAACATTGAGATACTGTAGTACAGTACAATAGTATAATATGAAGCGTATACGAAAGCTTTAAAATTGCAAGAAGTATTATGGCTACCTATGCTGGGCACTCTCTTTTTTCTTCTTAATTAAAAAATTCATGTGTTTCTGTGGAGTAAATACAGTCAACATTACCCTTTATTGAGCAGGATGATTAATGTATGATCTGTCAGAAGAATATGTGAAATACCTTATTGTCTCAATATAAAATGAAGGCAGGTTATGTAATTTAAACTCTTTTGCAAAATTCATCTATTTATCCGCTGCCAAATAAGTCCGTCCACCATATATTCGGTACATAATATAGTTAATGCGTCCATAATCTCTAATTTACAGCAGTGCTGTCCATTAGCATCCGGCCTGGGCGGGCCAGATGTGGCCCACAGCAGAGAATTTTCATTCATCCAACTTAGTCCCTCCCATGATATTGAAGTGGCATTTATATAGCTGCCACTATATGTACACAAAATACATATTAAAAGATCAATTTTAAAATTCAAAATGTAGCTCCACTGATGAACATTTCCACAATAAGTCATAGCTTGTAAATAAAATGCATAGTCCTGAAATACATTTCAAACAATTAAAAAGGGTAACTGTTGAAACCCCAAAACTAGTGTCTATTGTGACCTGCAATAAGGACTCTCCACCTTTGCAATGTGTCCCTGGGCCACAAAAAAATGGATTGATGTGGCCCATCATATTTTGGCCAGCACATCTGAGTTGGGCAGCACTGAGTTATTGTGTGGTAAATACAGTACATATGGACATGAAATGAACAAACTTGATTGCTGGAAAACTTCTGCATTTCATTCCTTCCATTTGATCAACCCTCAGCAGATCATACCAGCAATATGGCAGCCAAGCATCCCGGGGAAGTATTGCCAAGCAAGAACACAGTATAGGAATTACGATTTTTCGTAAAATACACGCATGATATCCGGGTCCAACAAAAAATATCACAATCCAGGAACATTGAAAAAAAAATCAAGCTTCAAAATATCGAGGGGGTAACACAAAACAACAAAAATGCCACTATAGCCTTCCAATAATAATAATAAGCGATTGAGGATCACAGGCGAAATAAAAATGTCCTTCAACCTCGGCTTTTAAGTTGGGATATCCAAAAAACAAAACGAATAAATCACCTCTGTTTTTTTGTGTGTCAAATTAGATCTCGCAATGACCGAATATTAGATTCACTGAAAACAAAAGCTTCGATTCTTATCTGCAAAGACAGATTTTTTTTTTCCATCACGGGATGCCAATATAATCATCTCAGGGTTTCTGACCTCACCCCATCAGCAGTCAAAATAAAATTAAAGCCCCTCCCATCAGCAGGAGTGGAATTTTTTGCCAATGATTTTTTTCAAAATTGCAACAGCTCATCATCATCATCAGAATCATCCTCAGCTACAACAAATGTTGGACTTGCTTGGTTGGACACTAGATCCGGTTTCCTTCTCATTTGAGGTTCGTTTCCTTCAGAGTCAAGGACTAGCAAATCTGGACCACAGCCTTCTTGCAATGGCACCAACGCTCTGTCACTTGCAATCTGGCGAATAAAAACAATTTTCAAAATGGTTGAATAATAATCACCACTTATATAAAATTCAATGCTGGATGAGGGAGGTTTCAGGAAAAAAAGGCAGGCTGTTGATTTAATATTATTTTCTTGACACCTTGAACTGAAGAGTACCCCAATCATTAAATGAAATTACAAATGAATTTCTGAGTCCTCAAAACCACTGTGGGATCAATACGACTCAAAGAAGGCCTCTAATTGCTAAAGATTTTCTTACATTCTAAACCTGACTCACTTAAAAATTCTGAAAATATCAAAAATGAAAGCCTGAGTTCTCAAAACCACTGTGGGATCATTATAAGACTCAAAGAGAGAGTCCTTTTGCTAAGAATTGTTTTACACTTCAGCCCTGACTCACTGAAATACTCATTGCTCCTCAATAAGTTGGGGATTTAAAGACAACCTTCCCATTCAGCATCACTGACAAATATGGCCAAGGTCAAAACAAGTTTTCTTCTTTTAAACATGATTGTCAGGCCTGGGAAATGAGCAATACTTAAGACCTATGAGACCTTAAATTATTTTTAAAATATGGTAGCACTTGGACTTCCTGTAAATTATAAAAGAAAAACCTGTAATTCTTGCAGGTGATCCACATTTGGCTGTTTTACTACAAGATTCATTGTAAAAAAAAAAAAACTACTGTACTTCTTTACAAATACAGTAGCAATTGCAATAAACAAGACTATTCTTGTACAGAGATCTGAGAAGGTAAGGGTATAATTCAATTATTTGGCAATTTTCTGTTCATAATGCAACTTCTTAATTTGATCCAACTCTGCATTTTGTGCTTTCTAATGCTATCAAACATGGATTTCCTTTTCTTTCTGCATTTTTGATTGTTGAAAAAGCACAGATTTAAAATTTTTTGAAGGTTTTTCTTGTGGATTTGAAGGAAAAACATTTGATTCCATACAAAAGGGCATAAAACCCACCTGACTGATCAAGGGTTCAAAAATTCTGTAAACACTAGAATTTTGTAAAACGAATTTTTTTACAAATAATGATCAATTAGAACAGCACAGAAATTTTCTTTAGGTCCCAGTCCAACAGCCACAATACGAAACAAGTTCCTTTACAAAACATTTTTCTTTAAAACGAAAGTATTGCATTGGTTCTAATGTCTCCTTGGTGAAGAGATTTTACAATCAATTACAGTCAAACCCCGTTCAGATGCCCCCCGATAAAGCGCCACCCTTGGCAACCACCAAAATTTTGAATGAAATTAATCTCCTCTATGTTAAATTCTATAGAAAACCTCGATAAGACGCCAACCGCCAGCATTAGTGATGAAACAAAAGTGCTGTTCCCAATTACTGTAGTTTTGTCTTTGTTACAACGCCAACATTGGGGTAGAATTATAATTTCTGCCAAGGATCTTGTATTTGTTAGAAAAATGATAATAATGACCATTTTTTTTGAAAATTACATTGACCCAATCTTAAAATTTGAATAAATTGATGCAGCAAAATTTATTTTCTGAAAGAGTAATCCATTGATCACAGCAATACTCTTTGGAAAATTACTGAAGTTTCGTACATAACCTGTATCTCTATGACTTTTGGAGGAAAATCAATTACATTATTTCCGAACAAAAAATTAAAATTAAATATTTGATAAACTGCCAAGCTCTTTAAACCGCCAAAATTGATCTGGAAAAATGGTAGCGTCTTATCGGGGTTTGACTGTAGTTTCATTCCAGTCAATTTAAAAATAATGAATTGCTTGCCTTGAAATTTCTCAAAACCATTAAAAAAAACACATTCACACACACACACACAGGAAAAGACTCTAAAAAGTGTAACACGCATTTTTTCCCCCATTTCCTCACCAGTTGGTAATTAGTCCCGGGACTCACAGCAGTCAAGCGACACAAGGCATCGTCAGATGAGTCCCCGGAATCCCTTCTGTCCAACTCGGCGTCATTGCCTTCGACTATCCTGTAGGAATACGTGTCCCTGGATCCACTCGATCCGAATCCCAGCAAGCGTCCGCGAAGGGAGCCGAAAAGACTGTGGAACCCGTCCATCCGGGACCTGGGACGGGTTCGCAAGCGGATCCCAGAGTCGGAAGCACAAGAAGATGGTCTCGTGATGATGCTGGCGGTGGATCTTCTCTTGGCTTTTCCGTGCTTGACGAACCAGGCGACGACGATGATCAGACCGACTAGCGCCACCAGGCTGAGGAAAATTCCTGTGGCTAGGGAAAAAAAATAGTGGTCATTTGAAAATACAAGTGAGACCCCCACATGCGGACGCCTCGACCTGCGGACAATTCAACATAGGGACACTTATTTTCCCAGAAAAAATCAATAAGTAAGGCCCGACATGAGGACACTGACTCAGCATAGGGATATTTCCAACCCTAAAATTGATGTAAGAAAAGTTCTTGGGCATTTCTCTCACCAAATTACCATCCATTTAGCTAATAAAAAAAAAATCAGACCCTTACTTCCACCGCGGCCCTTTCGGGAATGAAGATTAGGATTCGGGCCATCGAGACACACCAGAGTTGTCTTCCACTTCAAGATCACCAAGCATCCATAAGACTAAAAAAAAAACACACAAGCAATTTCAAAACTCAGTAAATCCACATTAAAATTACCGAAACACAAAAAAAAAGAAAAAAAAAAGAGTGAATAAAATCCTGCACCTCATAGAGCTCTGGTTTGGCATTCTGGTCATCTGCAGTCGGATCGCATTCAAACCAAATCTCAGTCGCTCTGTCCCCTTCACCCACTTCACACTCATCACCTCCTTCGTATCTCAGCTTCAGCATTCCATCCCTGTAAAAGGAAAACCAGAATTGGAAACAAGTTGAAAAATCATAAATAATTTAAAAAAACCTTGACAGAGGATTCAAAAAAAAAAAGGGCGAAACATCTTTTGTCTCAATTCTTTTCGCAGTGATTCACTATACAGGTGGACTCTCTCTACAACGAAATTCAAGGTAACAGAAAAAATTCGTTGCAAAGAGAATTTCGTTGTAGAGCATCTCTTTAACATGGGGAGCCTATGCGACCAAAAGCAATTCGTTCTACAGATTAAAATCGTTGTAAAGAGAGAGTCCACCTGTATTACGCGTAAATATTTTCTGAATTTTCAGATTTATTGTAATTATTTCAAGTTATTCTTACAGTTTTTGAAAGTTAACATAAATCTTCAAAAGAAACTCGCTCTTGGCGATCAATATCTTTTACTTTTCAGTCAAAAATTAAATGCAGATGGACTCTATCTACAGCGAAACGCACGGGACCAGATACAAATTCGTTGTAAAGAGAATTTTTTGTAGAAAACCTCAATAATATGGGGATAAAAGCCTATGGCACTTAAAAAATTTGTTATACTATACAGAAAATATCGTTGTAGAATCAGTCCTGTACTTCATCAGATGCGAAGTTTTTAATCAAAAATGAAATATTGGATCAAAAATGAAACATTTGATCAAAATTGTAATATTTCATCAAAAATGAAATATTTTCTTCGCAAAGAAAAATATTCTGTTTATCACAAGTACAATTAATACTGTACAGCATTTCAAAATTTAAAAGCTCAATTTAAACCCACTTGAACCCGTTCTCTACGTGAAAGTTTATGTGAAGTTTTCAATCAAAAATGAAACATTGGATCATTAAAGAAACATTTTATCAGAATTGTAATATTTCTTCATAAATTAAATATTTTCATCGGAAAGAAAAATATTCTGTTTATCACAAGTACAATTACTACTGCACAGCATTGCAAAATTTAAACCCACTTGAACCCGTTCTCTACGTAAAAGTTTATCTTTCAGTCAGGTTTTTTCGTCAGACCTTCCAACCAAATTGAAAAAAAAAAAAAATGACATATACATCGGGCTCACCTGTACAAAAAGAAGCCCTTGTCAGCCCTGCCGAAACTCACAGCTTTCCCCATGCTTTGCAAACAAACGGCAGAGTTCTTCTCCGAACAACCCCCGCAATGATCGCAAACATTCAACATGTACGTGATGTAATTGTAGCCGATCCTTTCAGACACGAAATATCCATAGCCGTCTTTCCGCAGGGTCCCGAGTTTGAATTTCAAGCCGCGTTCTTCGTCAATGTAAGTGCAGTCCTTGGTGGCTGGTTTGGGAGCAGGTGGAGGACACGCGGTGAGACTCCGCCATTCCAACTGCACTCTGCATTCCGGAGTCACTCCCACAAATTCCGGCATCTAGCAAAAAAAAAAAAAAAAAAAAAACACATAAAAAGCACCAAAAACA